CTGAGTGCTTGTACCCGTTCTCCTCTCTGACACACACTGTCATAGGAGGCTGCAAGAGGAGAGCCCAGCCTCCTGTGACAGCGCTGGCTGTCTCCGCCCCCACACCGCTCTGCTGCACTGTGATAGGCGGCCGAGCGGTGTGGGAGGAAAGACACCGGCCGCTCACAGCGCTCGTCCCGCAGCGCTCGGACGGCTGTCATTTTCTCTCTGATTCCTTTCATCCCCGCTGGGCACTGCTCTGTGTCCCAGCGGGGATGGAAGGAATCACGGCCGCGCCGACAAAACGGCAGGAAAATGTCACTTTCGGCATTTAGCCGAAAGTGCCATTTTCGGCCGGCGCCCCCCCTTCACTGCTGCCCCCCGGTTGTTACGCCACTGGATATCTACAACCTAGTGAGTCACCTATCTGGATCCAGTATGCAGGATGTCCTTGTTCCAGATCAGTAACTCACCAAGTAGAACATTTAATGGGTGAATTAGTTTGTCCTAATGGAGTGAATGGATAGCTCATTAATGCCTCCTGGGGAAGGGCATCACTCCAAACCTCACCCGGTTGTTGCTGTATATGGCAGCCCTTGCTGCTTAAGGCCTGTGTAGACGGGCTTTACTTCAAGCTAGTTTTGCATTCCCTTACAAGTCTTTGGGAATTGAAACGTGAAGCAGGTCAAATGCAGGTCAGGAAGACATCTTCTCAAACAGAGGTCAAGCTAATGACATTGACACAAACCCAAAGTCTGTTGGCACAGGCCCTATAACTTGACCACTCAAAATTGGTAACGCCGAGGGTCTTCTCTCGTTTCCAGCCGCCATTTGAAGTGGAGGTCACGGAGCTGAGCCTGGTGAAGAGCGAGATTAATCTGGCAATAAATAGTCTGAGCTCCTGGATGAAAGATGAGCATGTCTCCAAAAATATGGTGAGGCCTCCACAGTTGTTCTATGATGTACCCCCTGATATAGCCTCTATGTATCATACAGTCTGTTGATGAACGCTGATTCCTCTCTCCCCATGAAGGCCATGTATTTAGATACAGCATTTATCCGGAAGGAGCCATTTGGCGTGGTGCTCATCATCTCCCCCTGGAATTACCCCGTTCAGCTGACTCTCATCCCACTAATTGGGGCCATAGCTGCTGGTAAGTTCATCATTGTATCAGTGACGGGTGCTCTTACTCCTTCCTGGTCAGATTCTAATAGTGCCAGGGTCAGCACAATATCAGTTCATGTGGCAGTAAGTGTACAGTCAGTGCAGACCTGAGAAGCCTTCAGCATTAATGTGTCCTATGCATGGGCCATGATAACGGTCTTCAACAACATGGTGCCACTTAGTCCTCCTAAACATGGAGGCTGTCAGTCACACATCACACAATGCTATAAAGCGATGAGGCTGGGGGGTTCTACTCCTGTTTCCTGCCACAGGCCAAAGACCTGCTGGTAGCTTAATTGGCTCCTGTCTAAAATTGGCCTTTGTATGAATGTGAGACAGGGACCTTAGATTGTAAGCTCCTTGAGGGCAGGGATGATGTGAATGTGCAACTATGTAAAGCACTGCGTAAATTGTCGGCTCCATATAAATAATAATACAATAATAAGAACCAAGATAGTCACCTTCCCCGCTGCCACAGTGCAAGTGGCCTCTGCATCGAAGAGAAATGTCCAGCTACAGAATCTTCAGTAATTCTGGTTCCTGCTGCGCTCATTGGTTCCTCCCGCCAATCCATAAATCACTACAAAGCTCAATAGTGATGTAGGGGATCAATGGGAGGAACTGCAGAGTGCATTGGAGGACCTGGAATCTGACAAACATGAAAGTGTTGGCTTCTAAAGATCCTTCAGCGGGTGGTTTCTCATCAGTGCAGAAGCAATAGGTGGCGGGGGCAGCAGGGGAGTATCTCAGCTCTTCTTAGCAGGGGCGCCTTTAATTTAGAAATACTTTCAGGAACAGAATTGCTTTAAAGCGACGCTGCAACCTTGTCTGTTCAGGGCAAAGTAATGATGTCTGCGCAGAGCCCATGCCTCCTGCCATGTTTACTCACCCATCCCCACTCCCTCACACTACTGAAGTCCTCACTGCCGGAGCCCTCACCGAAGAAGCTGGGCTTCCAGGTGTGGCGGAGCACCTGATGTCCCAATTTCCAGGCCTGAACACTGTCACATGGGGGGATGCCATCATGTCACCTCTCCCGTCTAAGCCCCCACAACGGCTGACACCATAGCTTAGAATGGCGGCAGCAGGGAGGAGGCAGGGTGACTATACATGCCTGGGGGGGTAGGCACTGTCACTTTAGCCATTCAGGGCCATTGAAGGGGCTACAGGAAGACAGCGTCTTGTCATACGTGGAGCTATGCATGCGGGGCTTCAAAAAGATGGCGGGAGACATCCATTTGGCGCCATAGCACAGAGATGGATGACTTTGGCGCAGTCATGTTGTTGTACTATTATCCCCCATTATTCCAAAACCTTTCCAAAAGCATAGTTTTAAAACACTTAAAGCACAACATACCTTTCAGCTAAATCCAGTCCAGGTGCATTAAATAAAAGGTGTGCAAAGTTTTACAATAAAGAAGCCTGTCCCCTGCCAGCCTGCTGCAGAGAAGGACCCTTGCTCTCCGTGTGGAAGCAGTCATGCTCTGTCTTATTGGAGAGCTCTAGCTCTAATTCAGCATGCGGAGTGTCGGACCTCTGCAGAGAGACCACTGCTTTCACACAGAGAGCAAGGGTCCATCTCTGCAGAATGCTGCTGGCAGGGGACAGGCTCTTCTACTAAGGCTGTAACTTGATAAATTAAGCTGGTTGTACCTTTGCAGGTAATTGTGTCATCATGAAGCCATCCGAAATCAGCCAAAACACAGAGAAAGTCCTGGCTGAAGGCCTTGCCCGATACCTTGATCAGGTGATTATGGAACCAGATACCCCGGGCTATTAGAGAAATGGCGGGAGGTGAGGGGGCAAGGTTACACTGTCTGGATATCATGGATTGGTGTCCACTCCTTCTACATCAAGGCAGAGAAGTCTTTCTAGGTAGACCCCGGTGATTATTTCTTACAGCCGTGCTCTAGCCATGTACAGAGTGAGCTAACCCATAGCAACCAGTCAGCCATTTCCCCCTGTATATGATGTCACGGCACTAGACATCAGACAACCAGCAGCCAAATGATCTTACCATAACTTGCACATTTGGACTGGCCAAAAGTCCATATTTATATCTATGGAGGAGGGAAACACTGAACGGGACCCTCCATGGTTGCCTATTATTCTGACTCCCGATTATTGTGATAGCGACTTATCCCTTGCTGAGACCTCTATGCCTGGCCTGTATAAGCAGACACAATCACTGAGAACAATCCTTGTCGGATTGCTGAACTCACTGATACATTTTCCATCCACAAAGGTGCTTTATTCTGTACATCAAGTTACAGCAGACAACAGGATACAGCAGATGAATGAATTGTGGTATTTAGGCGGTCAAAAGATGATACTGTTCGAAGCATGCAATGCAGATTACATGTGTCCATGTTACATGCAGATTACATGTGTCCCTGTTACATGCAGATTACATGTGGCCTGTTAGATGCAGCCATGACACAGGAAATGCTACTCTGAAGAAGAAGGGCGGAGCATACATACAGGGAAAATGCATCATAGATGGGGGGAAGGGAACACAGAAAACATGTGCAATACCAAAAAAGATCACTAGATGGCAGTTGGGAACAAGTACAGATTACTGCTATGGCTGTAGCCAGTCAGATTGGGTAAAGTTCACGGTACACTTGTGGGCACAAATGATATAATGGCAGCACATGAAGTGATTTATCCCCCGTGTCTTCCTTCCTCAGGACTGTTTTGCGGTGGTTTGTGGCGGGGTGGAAGAATCGACTCGCCTCCTGGCAGAAAGATTCGATTATATTTTCTTTACAGGTAACAAGAAACACAATAAAATGTGTCTGATACAACAGCATATGTCCCTCTGTGCTGAGGGAGAACAAACCTCTATATGGGGGGTAGGGTGGCAGGACGGGGCCTCAGGATGAGGGTGGCAGCACAAGGATAATGGTGGCTGGACATGGGCTTAGGGTGAAGGTGGCCGGACAGGGGCCCGGAACAAAGGTGACATAACCCAAGGAAGAGAGGGGGCAGGCAGCGGCATAAAGCAAAGGGTGGCAGAGCAGGGATAATGGTGGCTGGACAGCGTCCCAAGGCAAAGCTGGCAGGACATGGGCTTAGGGTGAAGGTGGCCGGACAGGGGCCCAGAGCAAAGGTGACATGAAATAACCCAATGGAGAGAGAGGGCAGGCAGTGGCATAAAGCAAAGGGTGGCAGGACATGGGCCAAGGGTGAAGGGAGCAGGTCTAGTGCACAGGCTGAGATTGGCAGAAAAGGCCTAGGGCATGTGTGGCTGGAGTGGATATGGGCTTAGAGTGACGGTGGCAGAACCCAAGACAAGGCAAGGGTAGCAGGACAGGACTCCAGGCTGAGGTGTCTAGACATGGTCCCAGGCTGAGGTGTCTAGACATGGTCCCAGCCTGAGGAAGGCAAAACCATAGGCCAAGGTCAAGGGTGCCAGGACAGGGGTGTGGAGAAACAGTGGCAGGTCTGGTTCAAAAGACATTGGCATAGGGAAGAGAGAGGCAGGGCATGGACCCAGGCCAAGGGTGGCAGGATGGGAGCCTAGGGTGAGGGTTGTAGGACAGGGGCCTGGCAGTGCAAGTCGTCTGATTGTAATGCTGATCCTCTGGCTTTAATACTTCGAGATACTGAACCAGCACAAGATTGCAGATCAAGAGATTTAACTTTTCCCTAAATTTTCAGATCCTCATGTTAGTGAATTTAAGTGCTGAAGCCTCAGGATGAGCACAACAGCCAGGCGACTAGCATGCGTTAAAAGGTGGTCATCCCCTTTTGGCAGGACAGGGGCCCAGAACAAAGATGACAAAACCCAAGGGATTTTTTCTCTGACAGGTTCCCATGAAGAGCCGAGTAGACGATGAAACTCGTGGGCACTGATTTGCACTTTTCTCCCTCCCGCAGGGAACCCAGTTGTCGGTAAAATAGTGATGGAGGCCGCGACCAAACACCTGACGCCACTGACGCTGGAATTAGGCGGCAAGAATCCGTGTTATGTGCACGACGATTCCGACATCAAGAACGCTGCCAGGCGCATAGCCTGGTCGCGGTTCATCAACGCGGGTCAGACGTGCCTGGCGCCAGACTACGTCCTCTGTTCCGAAGCGATTAAAGAGAAATTGGTGGTGGCGTTACAGGCGACCATCCGGGAGTTCTACGGAGAGGATCCAAAGCAGTCGCCGGACTTCGGGAGGATAATCGGCGACAGGCATTACCAAAGGGTGGCAGCGCTACTCAAACACGGGAAGGTAGTGGCGGGCGGACAGACAGACGACTCCGAAAAATACATCGGTAAGAAACTCCCGTCCCGACATTGCTGTGTATCGTATATTCAGATGTTTCATGTAAGATTACTGGGCAGAAGATCTTGCAATCAAATGTGTCCGAGCCGTGTCAAACATTTCACACCAATGTCATTCACTCCTTCACCTCTGCCAGCTATAGATCGATGTTCCCTTGCAGCATTCCCCATGCACAGGGAACATTGATCTTATGTTCTATTGTGCAAGGAGCAGTGCAGGCTGGTGTCAGTGTGGTTCCTCATCATGTGATCACCAGTTCATCTATGACACGGTGATCACACCTTCAGTCAGTGCACAGAGAAAGAAATGCTTTTCATAGAGAAGGCCGTGAAGTAAAACGCAGATTCACCACCAGATTGCAGCGGAGTTCAGGTAATTTAATGCAATCATGCCAAATATGAGGAAGCTCCAACAAATGACAGTAGAGTTCCATTAATTCAATGCCAGGACAATAAGACCCTGTAATAAGACAAATCTCCACCAGGTGGCAGTAGAATACAACTAATTTAATGCCAGGATAATACCATCCAGTAATATGAAGAATCTCCACCAGATGGCAGTAGACTACAATTAATTCAATGTTAGGACAATACCACCCAGCAATATGAAATCTCTCCACCAGGGGGCAGTAGACTACAATTCATTCAATGTTAGGACAATACCACCCAGCAATATGAAATCTCTCCACCAGGGGGCAGTAGACTACAATTCATTCAATGTTAGGACAATACCACCCAGCAATATGAAATCTCTCCACCAGGGGGCAGTAGACTACAATTCATTCAATGTTAGGACAATACCACCCAGCAATATGAAATCTCTCCACCAGGGGGCAGTAGACTACAATTCATTCAATGTTAGGACAATACCACCCAGCAATATGAAATCTCTCCACCAGGGGGCAGTAGACTACAATTCATTCAATGTTAGGACAATACCACCCAGCAATATGAAATCTCTCCACCAGAGGGCAGTAGACTACAATTCATTAAATGTTAGGACAATACCACCCAGCATTAGGAAATCTCTCCACCAGAGGGCAGTAGACTACAATTCATTAAATGTTAGGACAATACCACCCAGCATTAGGAAATCTCTCCACCAGAGGGCAGTAGACTACAATTCATTAAATGTTAGGACAATACCACCCAGCATTAGGAAATCTCTCCACCAGAGGGCAGTAGAGTGCAATTCATTGAATGCCAGGACCATATCACCCAGCAATATGAAAAATCTCTACCAGACCAGAGGGCAGTAGAGTATAATTCATTCAATGTTAGGACAATACCACCCAGCAATATGAAATCTCTCCACCAGAGGGCAGTAGAGTACAATTCATTCAATGTTAGGACAATACCACCCAGCAATATGAAATCTCTCCACCAGAGGGCAGTAGAGTACAATTCATTCAATGTTAGGACAATACCACCCAGCAATATGAATCTCTCCACCAGAGGGCAGTAGAGTATCATTCATTGAATGCCAGACCAATACTAACCCAGCAATATGAAAAATCTCCACCAGAGGGCAGTAGAGTACAATTAATTCAATGTCAGGATAACATCATCCAGTAATATGAAAAAATCTCCACCAGGGGGCAGTAGAGTACAATTCATTGAATGCCAGGACAATACCAAACCAGCAATATGAAATCTCTCCACCAGAGGGCAGTAGAGTACAATTCATTAAATGTTAGGACAATATCACCCAGTAATATGAAAAATCTCCACCAGAGGGCAGTAGAGTACAATTCATTCAATGCCAGGACAATATCACCCAGCATAATGACAAATCTCCACCAGGGGGCAGTAGACTACAATTAATTTAATGCCAGGACAATACCAAACCAGCAACATGAAGAATCTCCACCAGGGGGCAGTAGAGTACAATTCATTCATTGCCAGGGACAATATCACCCAGCAATATGAAGAATCTCCACCAGAGGGCAGTAGAGCACAGGTATATCACTGATGTGCAAGTAGAGCAGGTGTAGCCAAACTCCGGCCCTCCAGCTGTGGTAAAACTACAAGTCCCATGAGGCATTGTAAGACTCTGACAGCCACAGACATGACTGCCGGAAGCAGATGCATGATGAGATTGGTAGTTTCACCACAGCTGGAGGGCCGAAGTTTGGCTACCCCTGAGGGATCCTAGACAATGTCCCCTGGAAACTCTGTCCATATAATCCTCTCTATAAGGACTTTGCATGCCTGTAAGTGAATGACCCGGTCTGATGCCCCACCTGATCTCTGCTGGACCAAAGCAGCAGTCTACGGACAGAACCATTTCACTGCTTCCTATTGGCCTTTTTTTTTTTTTAAAGTGCAGTTCTTTGCTTTTCATTGATGTCACCCTTGTGATGTCACACATTGACCACACCCTCTGACCCTGCACTGATGCAGCCTTGTAGGTCACAGCAGTCCGGTCCGGGTCAGTGTGCAGTAATCTGGGTTCCGCAAAACCCATTTGATGCGTCCTGGTAGGTGCAGAATTTAGTGACAGACCTGCCATGTAAATACGAAAATACTCAGATGCCCCTTTTCTGCATTTGAAGAGGGTAATCTGCATGCATGCTGGCGAATCTGAATCTCACCAATGTGGTTATATACCGGGTTCCAGGCTGCCTTCCAGGAGGAGTATTTTAGGGAGAGTGCATAGGGAGCATAAAAAGTTATGGACACCGGCACTCCAAAGTAGAAAAACGTCTTTTATTGACGCATCATGCAACAATACACTTATTGCAACGTTTCGGGGTCACACAGGATCCCCTTCATCAGGCAGAACAAGTGCATAGGGAGCGGCACGTATAACACAGAGACTGATAAGGTGATATGTGTACACACCTGTAGAGTCTCTGTGTCATTCTGGGGTGTCGCTGATGGTTTTAGTTGGTGAAGTCGCCCGGTTGGATGTATTATGTGTATGTAGAGCTGATGTAGATGGGCAGACATTAGGAGGAAATGTAACCCATCGCCTCTCATTTCAGCGCCCACCATCCTCATAGATGTGGCGGAGTCGGATCCGATAATGCAGGAAGAGATTTTCGGCCCAATTCTTCCCATTGTCATCGTTCCCGGGTTAGAAGAAGCCATTCAATTCATCAACAAGCGAGAAAAGGCGCTGGCTGCGTATGCGTTCTCCGCCAACTCGCAGGTCAGAGCATCTGTGTGTCAGTCACTATAGTTATGTATTCCGATGTTGGTACTGTCCCCTATACAGCGCAGTCCTCTGTTTTCATCCACGGGCTATGTATCAGGCACAGAGGTGTAGCTTGTGGTCCCCGGACCCAGGGTAGCACCTGGACATGGGCACCTCCTATCACATACAGAAAGGGTCCCCAGGCCTGGTGCAGGAACTGGACAGGGACCCATACAGAAAAGGTTTTCTGGACCCCAGTGCAGCACCTAGATACAGGCCTCTCATATCACATACAGAAAGGGTCCCCAGACCACAGAAAAAGTGTTTTGGTCTCCGATATCACCAGACCCCAATTCAGTAACTTGACATGGACCCATCATAATACATACAGAAAGGGCTCTTGGACCTCAATGCCGCATCTAAACACAGGTCCCTCATATCAGGGAGGGTCCCCGGACCCCAATGCAGTATCTGGATACAGGCCCATCATGTGATTAGTAATCTGGGTTCCGCAAAACCCATTTGATGCGTCCTGGTAGGTGCAGAATTTAGTGACAGACCTGCCATGTAAATACGAAAATACTCAGATGCCCCTTTTCTGCATTTGAAGAGGGTAATCTGCATGCATGCTGGCGAATCTGAATCTCACCAATGTGGTTATATACCGGGTTCCAGGCTGCCTTCCAGGAGGAGTATTTTAGGGAGAGTGCATAGGGAGCATAAAAAGTTATGGACACCGGCACTCCAAAGTAGAAAAACGTCTTTTATTGACGCATCATGCAACAATACACTTATTGCAACGTTTCGGGGTCACACAGGATCCCCTTCATCAGGCAGAACAAGTGCATAGGGAGCGGCACGTATAACACAGAGACTGATAAGGTGATATGTGTACACACCTGTAGAGTCTCTGTGTCATTCTGGGGTGTCGCTGATGGTTTTAGTTGGTGAAGTCGCCCGGTTGGATGTATTATGTGTATGTAGAGCTGATGTAGATGGGCAGACATTAGGAGGAAATGTAACCCATCGCCTCTCATTTCAGCGCCCACCATCCTCATAGATGTGGCGGAGTCGGATCCGATAATGCAGGAAGAGATTTTCGGCCCAATTCTTCCCATTGTCATCGTTCCCGGGTTAGAAGAAGCCATTCAATTCATCAACAAGCGAGAAAAGGCGCTGGCTGCGTATGCGTTCTCCGCCAACTCGCAGGTCAGAGCATCTGTGTGTCAGTCACTATAGTTATGTATTCCGATGTTGGTACTGTCCCCTATACAGCGCAGTCCTCTGTTTTCATCCACGGGCTATGTATCAGGCACAGAGGTGTAGCTTGTGGTCCCCGGACCCAGGGTAGCACCTGGACATGGGCACCTCCTATCACATACAGAAAGGGTCCCCAGGCCTGGTGCAGGAACTGGACAGGGACCCATACAGAAAAGGTTTTCTGGACCCCAGTGCAGCACCTAGATACAGGCCTCTCATATCACATACAGAAAGGGTCCCCAGACCACAGAAAAAGTGTTTTGGTCTCCGATATCACCAGACCCCAATTCAGTAACTTGACATGGACCCATCATAATACATACAGAAAGGGCTCTTGGACCTCAATGCCGCATCTAAACACAGGTCCCTCATATCAGGGAGGGTCCCCGGACCCCAATGCAGTATCTGGATACAGGCCCATCATGTGATTTACAGAAGGGGACTCTGGATCGCACTGCAGTACCAGGAAAAAGACATATTACATACAGAAAGGTCCCCAGACCCCAGTACAGCACCTGAACACAGAGCCTTCATATTACATATAGTAAGGGTTACCGGATCCAAGTGCAGCATCAAGACACAGACCTATCATTATACATAAAGAAAGGTCCCTGGACCCAAGTGTAGAATCTACTCACAGGCCTCTCTTATCACATACAGAAAAGGGTCCCTAGGCTCCCATGCAACAGCTGGACATGGGCCCCTAATATTAAACAGTGTAATCTCTGATAAGCCTTAAATCTCCCGCAAGCTAATTGAAGGGCTGTGGAGGGTCTCAGGTGGGCTGTGGATGGTCTCCGGAAGGCTGTGCGGGCTCTCATCAGGGCTGTGCGGAGTCTTACCAGGGCTGTGGAGGGTCTCCGGATATGCGGGGCCTCACCAGGGCTGTGTGGAGTCTCACAAGGGGTCTGCAGGGTCTTACCAGGGCTGTGGAGGGTGTCCGGTGGGCTGTGGAGGGCTATGCGGGGTCTCACCAGGGTTGTGCAGGGTCTTACCAGGGCTGTGGAGGGTCTCCGGTGGGCTGCGGAGGGTCTCTGGAGGGCTATGCGGGGTCTCACCAGGGTTGTGTGGGGTCTCACCAGGGCTGTGTGAGGTCTTACCAGGGCTGTGGAGGGTTTCACCAGGGCTGTGCGGGGTCTCACCAGGGTTGTGTGAGGTCTTACCAGGGCTGTGGAGGGTCTGGGGTGGGCTGTGCGGGGTCTCGGGTGGGCTGCGCGGGGTCTCGGGTGGGCTGCGTGGGGTCTCATGCGCGGGGTCTCACCAGGGCTGTACGGGGTCATACAGGCGCCGTGTGGCACTCAGTAAGGCTTTTGAGGCCTGCAGCAAGTGCGGGACCTCAGGCAGCCACTTCAGTTTAAACATTTAAAGCGCTGGTATCGGCGTTTAGTACTGGGGCATTTGCACGAGTTCTCATGAAAATGGGCGTTATTGGCACCAATAGCGTTATCAGTACCGGTGCATCCCTACTAGTAGTTGCCCCTTCTGCAACCTACTCATAGCTCAAGGTGCTCATGGGTGGGGTAATTCATTGCATGCACACCAAAAACTGCCCAGAGCTCCACCCTGAGACCCTCTTTTATTCCCCCCACAGATCATCAATCAGGTCCTGGACAGGACAAGCAGCGGCAGCTTCTGTGGCAACGACGGTATTGTGCAAACCACCATCATCTCTCTGCCGTTTGGAGGAGTCGGTGAGTAGAAGACGCCTTCAACCTGTCAGTTAGTGGATTTATTCTGTATTTTGGCTTTGTGGCGCCACCTACAGTTCAGCTGTTTGATCAATGATTGGGCATTTGCTGTAGAAGCCGAGAAGTGCAGCTCCGAGAGCGTGACACAGCTGTAGTAAAATCCTCGTTATTCACAGTGGTTTCCAAATGGTCAGCCCAGTTCTCTCATTGGAGGTAACGAGGTCAACATCTGTTTAGCCTTTAAGAGCTCTCTTCAAAGGAAGGATAACCATCATGGCATTGTAGAGTGTGTCCCAGCTAAGAAGTTCCATCTGGGGCTCCATTACTTGGCTTACTTCTACTTCTACTACCATCTGGGGCTCCATTAGTTCGTTCACTTCTAGTTCTATCACCATCTGGGGCTCCATTACTTGGTTTTCTTCTAGTTCTACTACCATCTGGTGCTCCATTAGTTGGTTCACTTCTACTACCATCTGGGGCTCCATTACTTGGCTTACGTCTAGTTCTACTACCATCTGGGGCTCCATTACTTGGTTTTCTTCTGGTGGTTCTACTACCATCTGGGGCTCCATTACTTGGTTCACTTCTAGTTCTACTACCATCTGGGGCTCCATTACTTGGTTTACTTCTAGTTCTTCCACCATCTGGGGCTCCATTACTTGGCTTACTTCTAGTACTTCCACCATCTGGGGCTCCATTACCTGGCTTACGTCTAGTTCTACTACCATCTGGGGCTTTGTCAGAGAGCTTCCCTTATTTCTGTCTGTGTTGCTCTTGGATAGTTTCCTCTCACCTCCTGTCTGGTAAACAGTTGTCAGCAGGACAGGAAGTGAGGGGAAATCTCTTTAACAAAGCCCAGATAGCAGTAAAAACCTGACAGTGGTTCTAACCCTTCCCCACTCTTCTAGAATGAACTGCCACATGAGAACTCAATCAGCTTTTGTAACGTGTTGTGTAATATGTTGTGTTTAAGCGTCATGCTGTCCAATGTCTTTGTCTTGGTGCATGTGTGTGGTGTGACTTCTGCTCGGAAGTCTTTAGGATCTATCTCCTCAGCACATTTCCTGTGTCTCCTCTGCCTCAGGCTGGTCGTAATTGGGTTATGCAAGTTTGTATTTGATAAATGATGTACCTTGACTTTCAGAATCACACAACCCTCATAAACTTTGTCTATGAAGCTCTCCTGAGTCCTGGATCCCCACATAGACGATAGAAGCATCTTTGCAGATGGCTCTCTGGAACTCTTGAAGGTCTCAGTCTTGGTGCCTGAGGCAAATGCCCAATGATTACAAAGGCCCTGTGTAGACGTGGTGCCATCATGGTCATGTTTGTGTGTGGAGCAGTGGCGGTTGTGGTCACTCGACCAGGCAGGGAATTTCCACTTATATTTGGTTTGGCCAGTTGACCCAGGATGGGTGCACTAATTACTAGCCTAGTCACATCATATTGGGTCAAATTACACCACCAGAGAATATTGACACAGAGATGTCCCGTGCCCATCGAGCTTGGCGTCTTCCACATGTCCACCATTTTTGTTCCAGGCAAAGCAAAACCAGCCTCTAGGGCAGTGGTGGCGAACCTTGGCACTCCAGCTGTTTTGGAACTACAAGTCCCATGAGGCATTGCAAGGATCTGACAGCCACAGACATAACTGTGCATGTTGGGATTTGTGGTTTTGGCACAGCTGGAATGCCAAGGTTCGCCACCACTGCTCTAGGGCAACTGTGGCCAGTTTCACCATGAGGGAGGAGGTTTATTTTCTGACCCTAAAGGGCCCCAAAATTCCCATATTGTCCATTTGTAACCCTACGGTTAGTGTGCTGCATCATTTGCCATCCTACAGCATCTGCCCTTTGTCTTGCAGGACACAGCGGGATGGGCATGTACCACGGCAAGTTCACCTTCGACACCTTTTCCCATAAGCGGGCATGCCTCCTGCGCAGCGACGGTCGCGAGAAGCTCAACGAGGTGCGTTACCCGCCATACAACGAAAGCCGGCTGGGGTTCATCCTCTCCATGACGGAGGTGAAGCGCAAAGGAGCTTGCGTTATCTTCTGAGGATCAGGAATCGGTCACAGGCCCAGATCATCGGTCCGGTCACCGGATGCATACGGATCGCAGAACTGAAGCCACCCTGCGTTGCGTGAAATGATCATCATTTCCTATCAGTATTTTATACGCGGCCGGGAGAAATTTTATATCTGTATATATGGAAAACAATTCTCCATTAATAAATCAAGAAAAAAACACATCTTGTTCTGGGTTGTTTTTGGGAATGGGAAAAGACGTTTGATCCCGCGGCCGGAGGAAGACGCGCGTACAGCGCAATGAGATTGCGTGCAAGAAGCCAGTCACAGGTGATTCATTTCTGGGGAATCTGGACATTTCACCCACAGCCGCCAATCAAATTACAGCTGTCGTTTTTCGGGGTCGATGTTGAGTTGTCGGGTGAGATGGGATGACAGTGGTTGTCGCACAATTTTCCATTTACTAGACATGTGCAATTCGATTCGATTCGGACGCAATTTCGTAGATTCGGACATTCGGATGTATCCGAATTACAGGTCTAACGAGTGCAAACGTATCCGCAATTTCCGATTTCCGAAATTCGTTAGCGGTTGTCTGGACGAAATTTCAGCAAAATGACATTAGAAATTTTTATTTTTATTTTTTTATAGTCTGCAGAAGAAGAAGAAGAAAAAAAAAAGCATGAGGTTCCCCCCCCATTTATACCGGACCCTTTAGGTCTGGTAGGAGTATTAGGAGGGACCCCCCAAGTTAAAATAAAAAAAAAGTGCGTGGGGTTCCCCCCAAAATCCATGCCAGGCCCTTTAGGTCTGGTAGGAATTTTAAGGGGGAACCCCAGCCCCCCAAAAATGGGGAAAACAAATCGTGGGGTCCCCCCTAACAGTCCTACCAGCCCCTTGATCCGAGCACTGGCCCGGCAGGGCAGGAAAGGGAGGGGACGATCGAGCACTCCCCCCCTTCCCTGCGCCTTACCAGGCCATGTGCACCCCCTTACTCATTCACAAGGAGGGCGGCATCTGGGTGCCCCCATAATTAAAGGGGTACCCCGATGCAAATAAGCCCCCTTGCCCGCAGACCCCCACAACCACCAGGTCATGGTTGTGGGGAAGAGGCCCTTGTCCCCCTGTGCCGAGGGCACGTGGCCTGGTAAGGCGCAGGGAAGGGGGGGAGTGCTCGATCGTCCCCTCCCTTTCCTGCCCTGCCGGGCCAGTGCTCGGATCAAGGGTCTGGTAGTACTGTTAGGGGGGACCCCACGATTTGTTTTCCCCATTTTTGGGGGGCTGGGGTTCCCCCTTAAAATTCCTACCAGACCTAAAGGGCCTGGCATGGATTTTGGGGGGAACCCCACGCACTTTTCTTTTTGTTTTAACTTGGGGGGTCCCTCCTAAAGGGTCTGGTAGGAATTGGGGGAGAAGCTCACGCTTTTTTCCCCCCTCTTCTGTAGACTGTAAAAAAAAAAAAGAAGTTTTTTTTCCCCTCAAATGTCATTTTGCCGCAACGAACAAAACGAAACCGCAACGAACTTCCGACCGGACTACCGCTAACTAATTTTTCCGAATCCCGAAACGAATTGAATTTCGGACCCCAATCCCGAAAAACGAAATAAAGCAAAAATCCGAATCAAAACGAAACAAAACACATTTTTTCCCAGTGCACATGTCTACTATTTATCGTCTCACCCTGACACAATGAACTCTCTGGTATCACCAAGTTATAAATTGGCTCTGAAACTTTTGGGCTTTCTTGACGTATGCCCAGCTGTTTGACATGCCCATGTGGCTGCTAGGGGGAGGGGCAATGTGAAAACACACGTGAAAGCCCCTCCCAGGAGGAGCCACTGGTAAGGGCTGGGCTTCTTACATCTCAGGAGCCTAAAGGCTCAGAAGCTCAGGCACCATTAGCCTCATCTCAAGTGGCCACACAACAGTCCTCCCCTTATTATGCTGTGCAGGTAGAAGGCTCAGAGACAACGTGTTCCGGTTCTACAGGAATGTATCTGATTTTGCTGTATAATAGTCATGTAGATGGGGTGGTAGGTCCAGAATATAACAGTACATGTGATATATGTATGCGAGCAGAAATCATATACATGTGTGGCCACACATGATGAGCGGGTTCATTTAGTGGAATGGTTGCTGGGTCTCTGATTGTGGCCTGAAGGGAGAGAAGAACCCTAGCTGATCATGGATGATTGGGTGAATGTTGTTGGTAGAGGTGCTGTCATGGATGGCATGTCTGTGGCCAGGGCATTGGTGTGTGGTAGAGGTCAAGCTTGGAAGACCCGCCACTTTCATTCTTGAAGCTAAATGCCAACACATCAGTGTGAACAGCAGAGGACAACAGAAGACCCGAACTATGTGATGGAGGTTCTTCTCATAGTTCAGGCAGCAGAAGCTGATAGTGAGGACCAAGAGATCGGCGAGGGCTCTCAGCCACCCCCTGGGCACAGATGTAGGTGCCAGAACATGGCTGCAGTTACGAGAAGAAGAGGCGACGACCTTGACCACTTTAGACTTTTGGACAAAGAAGAACATGCCTGGGGAGGTGAGCCAAGCGGAGGAGAGCAGGTGCAGTAGAACATACAGGAGCCACACTGACAAGTAACTGGGGATTGGGGAGACCGACCATAGAACATGGTGCTGAGAAGTTCCACACAGGGATAGGGACAGTGTGGGCAGAGCTGTGATATTTCCGGGAGAGCAGATTCTGGGGGGGAAGCTGAGACACGAGTGTGGAAACCGGGCAGAGAGCTATGACCCCCAAGGTGCGGAGAGGTCAGGCAGAGTTGTGATAGGTCCTAGTTTGGAAACAACGGAGAGAGCTGTGACATGGGGGGTCCACACCATTCCCCCATTATCCAATCCTCCATCCCTCTATCCTACAGTCCTCCATCCCTCTATCCTACAGTCCTCCATCCCTCTATCCTACAGTCCTCCATCCATCTATCCTACAGTCCTCCATCCCTCTATTCTACTGTCCTCCATCCCTCTATCCTACAGTGCTCCATCCCTCTATCCTACAGTCCTCCATCCCTCTATCCTATACTCCTCCATCCCTCTATCCTACAATCCTCCATCACTCTACCCTACAGTCCTCCATCACTCTATCCTACAGTCCTCCATCCCTCTATCCTATACTCCTCCATCACTCTATCCTACAATCCTCCATCCCTCTATCCTACAGTCCTCCATCCCTCTATCCTACAGTCCTCCATCCCTCTATCCTACAGTCCTCCATCCATCTATCCTACAGTCCTCCATCCATCTATCCTACAGTCCTCCATCCCTCTATCCTACA